CCTCCCCTCCTCCCCAATCTCCACCCTCCCACTTTCTGCACAGCTCTGACCAGCCCAGCCCAGGTTTGGCTATGAAAACTGCAAGAAAGCTCACTGGTAGGACACAGCCAGAGCCGGGGGGGGGGGGGGGGGGGGGGGGGGGATGTTACTTAATTGTAATCACAACTTCTATGTGAAAGTGGAGTATGACTCCAGCCGAGAGAGCTCCTCCCCTTGGACAGATCCGCCGGCTGAGTGATCCCCAGTGGTCAGCGTGCCTGTCCTCTCACAGGCTTCTCTTTGAACTCGGAGAAAACTACTTAGAACGAAACTTGAAGAAATGTGTCGATTTAGTTGGAACTGATGTTTTCATGGAAAGCTTTACCTTAATATAGTAAAACTTCTATCAACGGGGCACAATTTAAAAACTGGCTCTTAAGAAATAGATCTGTAAGAGGGCACAGATGAAAATCCCATAATCACATGTTAATAGCCAAAGATGTGCTATAATTGCCTGCTAATTACCGTGGAAAAATTATAGGATTAATATTAACAATGTTACCTCGTACATTCTGATGTATTATCATCACCTACAGGGAGAGGTTACTGCGAACCCAAATGAAAGAGAGAGTTTGACTGAAGGGGCACAGGGTTGATTTCACAATTTAACTACAAAAGTATATCATTAATGGCTGCACTGCATGTGACCCTCAAGTAATGATGCTTATTTGTATATGCTTGTGGAATCCGTCTGCGTACCTTACAATCCAGACCACCCATTCTGAAGATGCAAAAGCAGCCACCTTCATTCTTTCAAAACATTTACGTGGTAAAGCAGTAAAGTAACTCTTAATTGCGGTCCCCAGAAAGAAAGTCCAAGTGAATATGCCTCCATGTATCTGTGGTGGCTTCTGGCTTTCCTTCAATGAAGTTAATATTAATTATTGAACGTCTAATTTTCCTTCTCTGCTTGAAAGGGGACAAATAGAAAAATGGGCCTGCCCCTGAACGTGGTTTGGGAATGATCCACTGTTCGGGTAGCCTTGATCCGTAGTTCAGTTCATTCTGTGACTCGTCTCGTTTCAGATATTATTCCCAGTGGCTCACACTGTGCTAAACGAGGCCACTCCACTTGTCATCATTCACCCAGTGGGTGCGCATGAGCGTGTGTGTGCGTGTGTGTGTGTGTGTGTGTAGGATTACATGAGAGAAAAGTCTGAAGGCAGGCAGGAGGCGATAAAGAAGAGAGCTAAGATCTGAAGTCCTATGGGAGCTGAGGAATCATTCTGGTCTAAGATAAGTAAACCTTGTAATAATATCAAAGTTGAAAAAAAACAGGTATGCCAGTCACACGCTTTTATCATTTGCCTTATTTGGACTTAGTCCACATTTCTATTTAATTGCTCCTCTCATTTTCTTGGGTAATAATTATAAGGCTAACTTTTCAAATAAAATAAAATTGTTCCTCTGCACCATGCAGATTGGCTACCAAGCAGGTTAAGGCAAGTATCTCCAAACCCTTGTCCTAGTCAGTCCGTCTTGGAGGTTTGGTGTATGACCTGGGGGAACAAGACTGTTCTTATCTCAGCTCTCACACTAATTAATGGGGACAAGTCACCTAGGATGGTAGGTCAACAGGCTCAGTTTCCTTGTTTATTAGATTAAGATATGGGACTCGTTAATAGAAGCTATATGTTTGTGGGTGTGTGCACTTTATGCGTGTGTGTGTGTGTGTGTGTGTGTGTGTGTGTGTGTGGTGTGAGGTAAAGAGTGGCATAGACGTTTTGCAGGATAAACCAGTAATTAGTTTTAATATGCTCTACAATGAGTCTCTCACCCTAACCTAGTCACTAACCTCTCTGCCATTGATCAAAGCGTTCTAGCAAGGGGAAGGTAGAATGTGTGCAAACATCCTTCTAATGTCATTGCTCAGGAATACTTTCTGGTACTCGACACGATGGGAACCTCCACTTTCTCTGCACTCACTGGGACTGCAGCCTCTTGGTCTGCAGAACGGAGTAATAAAGCCTACACATGAGAAATTATTTAGTGCTTGTGGGAACAGCATGGAACATGCTAAAAATTACTTAGAGACACATATATTACTGCCTTTGTTTTTAAGTAATTTCTAGAAACGGTAAGATCCAATCCTGACTTCCCTGCTTTGCTCTGAGTCTCAGAGGCTGATTCCTGAAACTGCCTTTGTTGGGAAGCATTTGTGGGAGATCAGGAGGCAGGGAGCGCCCAGGCACTCCTTCGCCTCCCTGCTCTTGGCACTGAGAGGAGTCTCTGCAGAAACTCCCCTGGGGTTCTACCTCCTTTTGGAAAGCAGGTCCCTCTGTGGCCACGGCTCCTGCTGAGGCAGCCCCCACCATAGTCCCAGCTCTTTCTGGGTGGCACCTCCAACACCCACCACCTCCTCCTTTTGATCCTCCAGCCCTGCAGGTAAGAGCAGCAGATTCCAGCAGCTGCTCATCTCTGGATTGCCTCATGGTGCCTCCAGCCCTTCCAACCTTTGCAACGAATTCCCTCCACGGCTCCATTTGGCATGGGCCCTGCTCCCCTGCCTGGACCCTGAGACTCGTCGAGGGACCACAGGTCTCCAGGGAACAGACATTGTGCTTAGGACTATACGGACTCCAGAAAATGTACTGGGCACATTCAGTACTTCTTAATGGCAGGGAAGGTCTCTTGGAGGTTTCACTGCCTGACCATGCAGTACTATTAGCACGAGATGTGTGTTAGAGCGAAGTAACACTGGATGGAGAATTAGAGAACTGGAACTCACTATCCAGGCATGTACCTTAGAGCCAACCGAGCCTGGTCATTCACCTCACAGAGGGATCAGAGTTCACATGGCCTGCTTAGAAATGGACACGGTTCTTGCACATCTAAATATATTACTATTATTGATGGGACAAATATATTACTATTATTGATGGACACAGTTGACTTTCATACAATGAAAGTGCTTTGCACTCAGCCCGATTTCGATTTCTCAGCCTGATTTGCACTAAATGGACCCACAAAGGAAAAGTGCCTAGTCTGGTGCCTGGCACATCAGGAGAGCTATGTGGGTCCTGGCTGTGACTTCTGTGCTGGGGACCTCCTGTGCATCATGACAACTTGTCAGTTCGCCACAGACCGAGAGGGAGGCCGAGGCCAACTCACCGATGTCGAGGACCCTCTGCTTCGCCGTGTGCTGCCGGGAGTGCCAGTACTTCCAGTACTTCAGCTGCTCGTCACGGTTCTTGTCTTCACTGAAGACCACCATCACCACGCTCTGCGGAGGCGAGAATAATGGAACTTACTTTTTGTTCTGGGCCTCGGCTGCTCGCACGGTCTCCATTCAGGAAGTTCTACCAGTGGTGCGTTTCTGTAATGCTGCTTTTCTTGCTTTACAAAGGCCCAGACATGCTCAGTTACATGGTTTTGTTTTAAAATGAGCCAACTTAAAAAAATGATTGGAGCTCGGCCAGCGTGGCTCAGTGGTTGAGCATCAACCTATGAACCAGGAGGTCATGGTCTGATTCCCCTCAGGGTTCATGCCCAGGTTGCAGGCTTGATCCCCAGTATGGGGCCAATCAATGATTCTCTGTCATCATTGATGTTTCTATCTCTCTCTCCCTCTCCCTTCCTCTCTGAAATCAATAAAAAATATGTTTAAAGAAATGATTGGAAATGAGAACAGCGCATAGAAAAAAAAATCCTACATTATTTTTACCCTGAGTCGTAAACAACCAGATAAACCAATTACCAGAAAATGTAATATTTTGTGAGGTAAGTAGGAATACCAAAAAAAAATATTTTTCTTGTACTAAAAACAAGCATATTTTTGAAATTTCTTATCTTAAATATAGAATCTGGCACCATTTATAAAGGAGGAAGTATCCATTTCTGGCCTAATGAAGTGCCTGAGGCTGGAATACTGGATTAATGAGAGAAATGCTAAAGTAATGAGAAGAATAGTAAAAGATGAGTTCATATTGATGAAGACAGATGTATGTCACAGATATTTCATAGACCAAAAGACACAAGGTCCACTATGTTTTTTATTTCAATACAATGTGTGATGTGCTTTAAAAATGAGCTTGAGAAACTAATCATCCAAAAACTCCTTTCGGTTCTCAATGATAAACAACCTCATTAAGCTAAATACTGTCTGTGATAATTCACTGTCATTTAGACAATGAAGAAGGTACCAAAAACAAACACATAAACAAGACCAAAGAACCCCTAATTACAGTCTCAGGGATATGACTCTCCCTTCTCACTCCATATCCCAAATACTTCTTAGTGGACATTTCCCCACCACTCCACAAGAATATTTCGTTGATTTATATTCCTTCATAATTTCTCCTCCGTAGCATTTTACACGCTGGTCGCACAAATCATTTTACAACAGGGCAGGAGTGTCCTTCAACCTCTTTTCAGAGCTCTGCTATACTTTTCCTTTTCAGTAGAGAGGGATTACCAGTTCCCTCCCTTTCTTGGCAGGAGTGAGAGTGCCAGAAGCTGGCAGGCTTCCAGGGCACTTTCATTTCCCACAAATAGGACCAACACTCATGAACATGAACATTCCTCCACGTCACTCCTGGGAGGGGTCAGAGCATGCCTCGCCCCTTGGCTCCTGAGTAAGCCTTGGGCTGCGAGGGCTTTTGACCAAAGTTGCAAAGGCTCCAGGGACACAGATGTACTGCATCCTCCTTTACAGAAAAGAAAGCAGCAGCAAATATGTAGAAAAATGTTCTGACTTACAGCTGCTCACTGGAAAAATTAAAACAGACTGATTGCAAACAACAGCGGCAGCAGCGAGGTAGCACCCAGGCCATGAATGGAGCTGGGAAAATTCCTTGGATACGTTCAGAAAGCATGTTCCAAACGCGTCCCTTGCCCGGGGCTTATTGGTTACTGATTAAAATGATAAACTGCGAGCCAATCAGTTCTCTTGCCCCAACTCTCTGACATTTGTTCTGGAGTTATTTATTTTAGAATTTTTTTCCACACCCTTCCCACAAGGCTCTGAGGTAGCAACTGCATTCCTCGGGTCCCTCTGGTTGACTGGATAAACGCGGCCCGTACCCTGACTTTGCTGATGGGGTGTCGGAAGCATTTGTTGTCGCCAGTCTCGCTGAGCGTTATGGCGTAGAACTGTCCCTTGTTGAGGTAGGTCATGGGGCCCTCCCCCTGCTTCTGACGGAGAGACTTGGTGGCCTCCAGGGTGTACTGAAACGTGCCGCTGTGGAACAGAAAACGAGCAGTGGTCAGAGTCACTCACTGGAACACTACTGATCAATTTCACATGGATTATCGCTTGGTAGGAATATTAACCAATATTTACTCTGTTTCAGAGACAAAACACAGCAGATGGCAAAAGAGATGAGGCCAGACCAAAGGTCACTGCTAACACAAGGTATACAGACAGCATTCTTAATAGTGGCCCATAAACCAGATGGTTTGGAAGGGGAGGAAGTCCATGATGTGCCTGGCCAATGGTGCGAGGCCGTGCTAGGGTCTTAGCTGGCAATAGACAATGCCTGAAGTTGAAGAACTTAGAGAGTTTGCCACTTTTATCCTCGTCACAAACCAAATGTGTGAATGCTTTTGTTCAATTCACATACATGTAAATCGCCTTCTGTTTGTCTCACCGAGATATTGCAAATATATTCTACTTTTAAAAACTTCAAAATGTGAAAACCCAAAACTCAAAACTACTAAACATTCATTACTAAACATCTAGTTCCATAACAGGGAGTATTTTTTTATTTCTGTGTTTTGTTTCCTAAGCCTGCAGAAGCACTCATGACAGGTATGTGCAAACAACGGTCCATGGGCCAAATCCAGCTCATTGACTGTTTTTGTAAATAAAGTTTTATTGGAACACAGCTACAGTCCTTCGTTTAGTGAATGTGGATGGTGCTTCTCCATGGCTGCTTTCACACTGCATAGCAGAATTGAGTGGCTGTGACTGCAAGCCACCAAATCTAAAATATTTACTAGGTAGCCCATTACAGAAAATGGTTGCAAATTATTGCTCTAAATGATTTCCCTAATATTTTAAAAATATGGTTTAACTTAAAAAACAAAAACACTCGTTTTCCCAACTTGGAAGAAAAAAATCAATTGTTTAAAATGAGCAGCGGGTATGAATCATAATATCTTTAAACATGCTCATTCAGAAATATTTATTGCTGCTACACCACAGATGACACAATAACAAAAACTGTGTATTTTCTGAATCATCAGAATCTCTTCATTGAGTCTAACTATTTTTTAGCCCTTAAAATGGCTTACAAGATTACTGGCAACTCTTGCTTCCTATGTTGAACATTTTTGCAATGTCTGATTTTTTTAAATTTTTATAATGAGAAACAATTTGAAGGACAGAATAATATTCCTCTTACATGATAAAAATCATAGGCTTAAGCTGATAAACTAAAAACATTCCAGAATATGTCTTAGACCAAGGTGGGAAATAAATCATTCAAGACAGAATCAATTCCACTGTCATTTTGTATAAGCAATTCCAATATAGCCACTGAATCATAAAATTCATGGCCTGGACAGGATATTCAGGACTGCCTACACCAGTAGCTTGCGACTTGTCTAGGGCACAGGCTGTTTGAAAATGAGAAGAAAGCTGTGAACCCTCTTCCCAGAAAAAAGCACATATGAACATAAATGGTTCTGAATATAATTTCAGGGATCTCTCTAGCCCTCCCCCTTCCTCACTGAAATCAATAAAATATATATGAAAGTATAACTTGGGGGTACATTTACTTTCTTTTTTTTAAAATATATTTTTATTGATTTCAGAGAGGAAGGGGGAGATAGAGAGAGATAGAAACATCAAAACATCAATGATGAGAGAGAATCATTGATTGGCTGCCTCTCGCATGCCCCCTACTGGGGATCGAGCCCGCAACCCAGGCATGTACTAGTATATGCCCTTGAACGGAATCAAACCTGGGACCCTTCAACCCGCAGGCCAACGCTCTAGCCACTGAGCCAAACCAGCTAGGGCTTGGGGGTACATTTAAAGGCTCATCCGTTCATCAGTTTCCAGGGGCATCTCCTGGTAACCTACCTTGATGTCTGGTCATACATGTATTCCTCAGCACCGACTGAAGCACTCCGAAATTTCTACAAAATACCCAAGTTATAGAAATTAAAACCAAGAAGTGAGACATTATTACACATTTTAAAAAGTGATAAATGTATCCAAACTGTTTTGTCCTCACTTTAGAAAGGACAATTATATTTTTGGGTATTACACTTTCAGCTGTAGTGAAAAGGGCTACCATTTGTGCGCAGAACCCACACATCGCCTGCACAATGGGAACTACCCTCAACAAAAAGCATTTGTACTTTATGTATTTCTCACGCGTCTGCAGGTGTTCTTAAAGTGTTTGCAGGTCCTGGAAACTGTTTCCTCAAACATATAAAACATCTCTTCCACTTTCTATTACCTCTAATGCTTATTCCAAGTCAGAGAATCTGAGTTACTGGAACAGTAATTATACACATCATAGTCCAAGCATTATAGTAGAGTGGTTTGGAGCATAGTTTCTAGAGCAGGACTGTGTAGGGTCAAGTTCTAGCTCTCTTGCCTGCTGGCTGTGTGAACTGAAGCAAGGGCCATACTTTCTCCACCTGTAAAATGCCTGCTTATAGTGATTAGAAGGACTAAATATGCAAATGAAGTATAAGAACAGTAAGCGTTATACAGTGGAACCTCGATTTTTTAACTTAATTTGTTCCGGGAAGCTATTTGAGAAGCCATGTGTTCATGACAGAGAATCAAAGATTCAGATTTAAGCTTCTTTTATAATCAATCAATCAATCAATTAATCAGCAAAGCATTTAATGGGAATTTTTTGAGGCGTTATCATCTTCTTGGTGCCAGGAGAAATATAGAAAAACTATACGGCACTGTCCTCAGAGAGATAAAAATTGGTGGGTAAATTCACATAAAAACAACAAAAGAAACAAAAATACAACAAAAGTACAGCAAATGACTAACTATAAAAGGCTATGTTGAATCACTCATTTATTCATGCAGGTGTCCTGACTGGAAAAGCACAGAATGGGCATTGCCAGGAAAGGAAAACCAGCAATATTAGAAGATTTCATGGAGTCTGTGAACTTTGCTCAGACCCTTGGAGCCAAAGAGAACCTTTTACTGGAGAAATTAAAAGAAAGTAATGGGGTGAGAGAGGACCACCATGATTCAAGACAAAATGATAGGTATAAATGTGGTACATAGATGGAGTCAAGGATATAGGCCTGCCCTGGTTATGAAGGAAGGACCTGAAAGTCTACAGTAGCCACTAGCCAAACGTGCTGACATTGATTAGAATTAAATAAAGTTAAACATTCAGTTCCTCAGTCAACCAGGCACCTTTCAAATACAACACTGACACATGGAAGTAGTGGCTACCATCTGGGACAACATAAACAATTTCCATCATTGCAGAAAGTTCTATTAGACAGGATGAATTTATGAAAAGGTATTTATACTTAGTTAAGAATTAGGGAAATTTGGAGAATGAGGATAGCATGATGAAAAAGATATTTAAGGAAGTATTTTAGAGATAGAGGGGATGCATTTCCAAAATCTTTGAAGGAATATGTAATAACCTGCAACAACACAGGGTGAACCAGAATTAATAAACATGGCCTTGAATAAATTTATTGTCCATGCCATAGAGCTCTGCAGCCTGAGGATAGGCTACCCTACTAAAACATATTGGACTAATAACGTCTATGATTCTAATCCCCCAGGTGATATGAAAAGGTGTGATATACTACAACTGTTCAGACTCAAAGAGATTTGTCTATATGCTGACTGAAATAATCACTCCAATAACTATTAGTGCATGTGAACAAGAACTATGAAAAAAATAATCGATATGTTTTAGACACAGAATTACTATCCTCAAGTTTAAATTTTTTCCCTAATTCTGTTACATTATCTTTCAAACTTAAAAAAATTAAATGTAGAGTCCACTTGGAATCTATCACCATCCTTCATGAGACATGCTCACACTAATGGGTCACATGGCCCTAAATGATTTAGTATGAAGAATTAGAACCGAAATGCTGGGCCATTCTGGCTACAGTTACCAAGTTTTCAAAACTGTTTGGAAATCTTTCGATATAATTTGTAGGATGCCTAAAGGCAAGCAGACAGCCAACATCGCCATTGATTTAGCACATCTATATATTTCTTAATTATTTAGGCCAAACTACTCCCTTCCTGATACCACTATACACACACACACACACACACACACACACACACACACACACGAGTCAGTCTCTACTAGTGAATGAAACCTGCTCATTCAACAAGGGTCTTAGACATTTTAATAATATTCCTAAAAGAATACTAGATTTTAGACAAATTTTCCTTAGTGAAATTTACTTGGTGAGGTTACTGAGCTCATCTACCTAATCTATAGCCTGTTGGCAATGCCACAGCTAAAGATCATAATAGAGCATTCTATTTAATTCACATCAGATTAAAATACAATATGTAAGGTAAACACCGATTTCCAAGACCAGGAGAGCAGCTAAAATATTCCAAATACAGTGGGAATAATCTTCATATATAGTTTCTGGTAAGTTACTTTCTCATGCACCTAAAAATAAAACCCCAAATACAATAGCTTCCTTTCACCAGCCTCTTTATCTACAACACAAACACAACTGATAACACATCCCCCAAATAGCATGATGGTTCGTTGACATTGGACAACATCCACGGACTCTTCTGTGACTAATGGAATATTTCTACACCATGTAAGAAAAACATCAGGGCAACCCTTTAGTGAAAAAGCATGTACCTTACATTCCCATGTGGAGTGATTTTAAAACAAACAAGCAAGCGGAGATCACTGTTTCTGTAAATTCTATGGGCACAGGAGAAGAATAGGTACAAAGTACATATACACACACTTGATTATTGAAAATACAAATTCTTTCTTGAATATTCAATCAGACAAGGTCGAAGAAAGTTATATTGTTTTTTAAAAGAATAGGCAGACAACTTTAGCTACCCTTTGGGAAGGTTACAAACTAGAAGAGGTCAAGGTAAAAACTTTAAAAAATAGGAAGTTTCCACACAAAAATCTCTTCATTCCTTATAAATATTTAATTTTTAAGATCAAAACTAAAACAAAGGAATCTGTCAGCTAAGCGTCAAAAAAAATATTCCTCCACATACCTAGACCAATGGTTTATTAAAACCTGCTCATAATAAAAGACACAAACACATTTTTAAAAATAGCCGTCAACTCACAGTTCAATTCATTTATCCCACTTTAAAAGTAAATAGAGAACAAAAGTTAGCTGAGGGGCCCAGCCGGTTTGGCTCAGTGGTTGAGCGTTGGACCCCTGAACCAAGAGGTTACTGGTTCGATTCCCGGTGGAGACACTTTCCTGGGTTGCCTGGTGGCGGCTGTGGCTCGATCCCCAGTGGGGGTGTGCAGAAGACAGCCGATGGATGTGTTTCTCTCTCACCGATGTTTCTCTCTCTCTATCCCTCTCCCTTCCTCGCTCTCTAAAATCAATAAAAACATATTTAAAAAATAAAAAAAATTCAACAGATCTTAAATAAAATGTGTTTCTAAATTTAAAATGAAGTTAGCTGGGGGTTCTGGATTTAGGTTCTAATGAAAGCGCGGGGACTCACCTCGGAGGTTCCGTCCTTGAAGCTCTCGCTGTAAGTGCTGTCCGGGGTGCTGCGCTGGTCATCCTTGAGGTAGGTGCCGTGGCTGGCCATGGCGGGCGCACCGTACTGAGTCTGTTCAAAGATCACCACGCGCTGCTCCTCCCCGTCTCCCCGGGGATAGTGCACGGGCGGGGCCATGAAAACCGGCGTGAAATCTTCGGCTTTCACCACCGTGATCCCCGACACGGGGATAATGGCCGGGCTCTCGGGGACGCTGGCGCTGTACTGCTCCCGCTTCGAATTCTCCAGGTGGTCTTGGTTTAGGGAAAGGTTCACGGGGACAGTCTTTAGGACCTGGACTCGGTTCTCTCCTCCGCTCAAGTTACTCTGGGCTTCGCCGCTGCCAAGACAGTTTCTGTGCGTTGAAACCCACCCCAAAATAGGATAGAGTTAGAAAGCTCGCCATTTTGCAACCCTTGATAAAATAACGGTTGCAGGCGATAGTCAGTGGGTATGAACGTATCATAATCAGGAGAGGCTGATGGCGAACTTCACAATGGGATCCAAAGGCTCTCTGCATCCCTAGGAGGACAACTACACGTGTGTGCCTCCTGCAATCAGCCCCACCTAGAAAGTGCTATTACTTTAAAAAAAAAAAAAAGTTGACCTTAATTCTAGGCAAGCCTTTACATCTAACTTCCAGCTCTCGGGAAACACAGGAGCTGGAAGAAAGACTTAGCCAACATCATAAAGAAGCGATCAGACAAACCAGAATGCCGCACGCACGTCCTACTGACCTGGCTGCTTCAGTAAGTCAGAGGCATGAAAAAGGAAGAAGGATGGGGGCTTACTCTAGACTAGCAGAAATTTAAAAGACATAACAATCAAATATGATGAGAAGGTCTTGTTTGGATCCCGATCTGAACAAACCAAAGAGGCATTTATGAGGCAACAGGATTTTTGAGGCAATTGGATATGGACTGGGCGTCAGGTGATATTAAGGAAATATGTTAATTTAGTTAGGGGTGGTAAGGATTTTGAGATTATGTAATGAAGTGTCCTGGGTTTTTTTAGATATACAAATCAGAAGGAGTTGCGGTAAAATGACATGACTTATTTTAAATTCTATTGCCGTCGAAAAAAGAAAAGGAAGGGAAGAGAAAAGGTAGAGATTAAGCAAGTGTAACAAGCGTCATCACTGCAGAATCAAGAGGATCAGATGGGCATTTGGGGGTCACTACAGGGTCCTCTTTACTTCTGCAGATGTTTGAAAACTTTCAAAAGAAAACATTTTAAAATAGTTTTATTTAAAAAGGCAGGAGAACTAATATGGTCATTTGAGGGAGGGTGAAAAGGATATTTTCCACTTCCCTGTGGACTACACTAAAATTTAGAAATTGTAGGAAAAGTAAGAAGTGAGAATTTATCATTTAAATATTTTCACTAAATGAAAGAGTAACATGAGCTCACGCATAGCCTTAGCACTGAATTACATTCGGGGCTTAAGGAAGTGGTGTAACTATAAAAGAAGATCTCTCAGATCTCAGACCTCCTGGCTGGTACAAAGAGAAAGGAGGATTTAGAAAATTAATTCTTGCCAGGCTAGAATGAAGTATTTTCATTTACACTAAAGAACTCTGGGAGAGAGCAGAAGCAGAGAGAGACTGGTTAATGGAAGATTATTATTGATAACAAAATGATTTTACTAGCAAAGTCTCTGTGGTCAGTAAAATCTGAGGCCACCTCTCACTTATTTATTGATTACTCTGATGGATATACAGAGAAAATACATGTCTTGCATGGAGCCCTGTCCCCGATGTCTGCTTTATTTAAACTAGCATGTTCCTTGTAGGGCTTCCCAGCATCTCTCACAGAGAGAGATATTCTAATAAAATTGGTCCTCCCAAGAGTTGAGCTCTCTTGGCTCCTCTCTATAAAGGAAGTCCATTCGCTTCTGAGCTTGCCTAACTCTCAAGCAGGACTTGGTATTTCAGCTTTGATTTTTCAGATAAAACTTCAAAGTGAAGCTGGAGGAAAGAATGGCTCCGCATGAACACAGCCAACAGAAAAAATATCTACACGTCTCTGAGCCTGTCACAGATCTGTACAAATCATTCTAGAAAATAACCCTTTAAAGAATAAAATCGCAAGTCTACAAACATTCTGGCTTGAAGTAATAACCTGCTTTCGTGGCCAAATCAAGCGCTGAATCTGTATAGAGGACACAGTGAAAATTAAGAAATTATGTTTAATCTGAATCCAGTTAGCTGGAGGATGCCAAAACCCAGACCACCCATTTATATCAGCATTTCCTAAACCCCATTATTTAGAACATTTGCATGGAATGTTAATAGATGTTCCTCAAAGAAAGGAGTCCCATGATAAAATCAGCATTAAAACAAAAACAAAAAAACTCTTTGCCATAACAAGACCACCCTGGTGGGTCACAAACACCAGGAACACGGTAAAGGCCCCCCAGGCGTTCCTTCACCTGTTTAATTGTAACCCAGAATTTCTGAAACTCATTTTACCCCAGACCTTCTTGTGGAGGATTAACTATTAATACTGGTGGGTAATGTCCTGCAAGTTGAGCGTGGAAGTGTTGGTCTACATTTATTAGCTACCAGAGCAATTACCCAGTTTCCACTCCTCTGGGCTTGGAACTAGTGTAGTCTTAATGGCTTTGCCAAAATATGACAAGTTAACCAACTCCTCTATAGTTAAAGAGTTCATTTTAGCCCACATTTATTCATTCTTTAATTCATATAAAATGCCGGAATTCTAAACAAAAACGTAAGTCAGGAGATTTTTGGTGTTCTTAGAGATAAGCAAACGATGGAGTTGTATAAATCTAGCTCCGACGTTATTATAGGATGAGGACATAACAGGCTCAGCAGCATCCTACAACATGCAGCTGAGCCTCTGTAGAACAGCACTGGCTTTCAAAGCTGATGCGGGAGAACTTCTAGAACAGCGGTTCTCAACCTGTGGGTCGCGACCCCTTTGGGGGTCAAACGACCCTTTCACAGGGGTCGCCTAAGACCATCGGAAAACACATATATAATTACATATTGTTTTTGTGATTCATCACTGTGCTTTAATTATGTTCAATTTGTAACAATGAAAATACATCCTGCTTATCAGATATTTACATGACGATTCATAACAGTAGCAAAATCACAGTTATGAAGTAGCAACGAAAATAATTTTATGGTTGGGGGTCACCGCAACATGAGGAACTGTATTAAAGGTTTGCGGCATTAGGAAGATTGAGAACCACTGTTCTAGAAAGACATCCAAGAAATGGATGATTAAAACAAAGTAAGAATTATTGTGAGATACTGACTCACCTGCAATATAATTTAAAACTGAACCAAATATTATAAAAGGAGAAAAATGCAATGCTAAGAACGGTGCATTCAATATACTTTTTAAAAAAATTTTGGATTATGTCACTGAAAGTCTGTTTTCCAAAGAAGCAACTTCTGTACGCAGTTGTAATGATATCATGTTAGCACCTGGCACCTTAATTCATGAATGCACCGCCGATCAAATGATATCCTCCCAAATTCCATTCAGCCAGCGTCTACTAAGTCACAATTAGTCTCTACAAGGTGGTTTTGTGGATCCCTCACTGCCAGCTTTCTTAAAGGTATTCCATTAAAATCACAAAAATAACCATTAAAATACAATGAGCGCCTGTCACTTGAAAGGTGTTCCAAAAAATGCTTTAATAAAACATGGTTCTTTTGTCTATTATGATGCAGACAGAGTACACATCCGAGACTCATTTGGGCCCCGATCCCTCTATGATTGCTGATATGGCACCTTGCAGACAGCATAGGTTAGCTTAATAAATAGTGGCTAGATGGAGGAAAAGTTACAGGACCTGAAGAGTGGCAGCTTCCTATTCCCTGTCATCACTACTGCCAACCGGGACCCAGGGCCCACGGCAGCGTGGGGCATCAGCAGGTCCCTGCAGACCTGCAAATCAGATGCAGCTAGTCATAATCATCTGCTGGGGTACACTACACCTTGGAGATGATGCACAGCTTAGGGCTGCTAGTTGGTGGGGTGGCCCCCACTGCTAGTCATATAATAAGATCATAATGTCACAAGCAGTTCCTAACAAGGCCAGGTAAGAGTCTGACATAAGTGCTAGCAGGGGATTTCATTTCTGTCTGACATAAGTGCCAGCAGGGGATTTCATTTCTCCTGGCTTCATATTTCCATTTGAAAAAACCTGCAGAAGGGATGTATTTGGCCGCTTTGGAAGAAGTAGCTGAGCAAGATGGTTCAGTCCCTTCTAGTTTCCTCCTTATGTCTAGATCATCTTGGTCAAAAAGAGGTGACACGCCAGTCACCACGGACATACCACAAGGGGTCTGTCCCTTCAGGGAGGCCTGAAGTCCTGCCCGGGACCAGATGAGTAAGCGTACCTAAGGCAGGACTGAAATGATACAAATTGCGGATTCCAAATAGCACTTCCTCCGAAATAAAACTTTTTTTTTTCCTTTTTAACTTCAATCTGTAGGACT